TGCTATAGAACAGATTTATTGTATCGCCAACAATATCTATCGAAATTTGCTAGTATTGTAGATATGTTGTACGTGTAAGTGGTCGCTTGATGTCCAGCGATGCGCCAATTGACAAGGGCCATTGTATCGGACGATAGTACCGGTGTATTGAATGTTTGTTAACAACACTCGATTGCCTCTAATTACTTTCAGCATAAGCCAATTACTTATTTAATCTCAATCTTTAGGTAACACTATGTAATTGACTAAATTATCATGCTTCATAATTATGGGTATCATGCGCGCGTTGCTGATCCTAAAGAAATCTTTTTTACCTCTTCTTTGAAGAATTTCATGTAATATAGGCTTTTGAGTAAATCTTGGAAATAAGCACATTTCTTAATCTGAGCGTTCGTGGAAAAAAGTATTTCTGAAACTGCGCTGTACTTAACCATTTAGGTTCTAAGGTTTGGGGGTACTACTATGTAGGTAGCGAGTAGTACGATAGTAGAAAGTGGCCGTGGGCATCATGTTATACAACTTCTCTGAGCACAGTCCATTGGAGAAGTGGTAGAACATGCAAAGTAAGGCAAAATCACTCCTAAAGTTTAAGGGTTCGAACAGCTTGGGATCAACGACAATCCTCATAGCACATCGTTTGCACCTAATAGGAAATCGTAACCATCGGATACTAAATAAACATAAGTTAGCACGAAATATTCATTCTTTCATTTATTCAAAAATACTGGATCAAATAATGATTCAATATGGAATAGTATTACTAGGTAGCGATAAAAGATATATGAAGGTAATTGTGGTAGCTTGCCAGTCAAGCGAGATAAAGCAATCTCGCATGATTGGGCCGCTATCACAGGTATGTTAATAAAAGAAACGGGAAATTGTTGACGGTGAAAACAAATTATACTTATTTATTAAAGTGTAGTAATCTTAAAATAATTTTTTGATACTATATAAGATATGCGTAATTATAAAAATATACTAAATAACAGTATAAAAAATAATTACTGTCCCCGCTTATTTCTAAACTACTAAACGGATACGGCCTTTGCTGTCATTTGATATTTTTTAAGAAAGGTTTGTAATATTTGTATTTGTAAAGGTTTGTAATAGGTTTTGATTGCCTTTTATACGTACAAATACATTCTAATTAAACTTATGTATAAGTAGATAAATTCAGTATTTTGTAATAAATCTTACCCATATGAAGCCGAGACGTGCCAGTATGACTAGTGAATTTAATGTACATCATAATTACGTAATATAAATAAAAAAAAGACATATTTAAATGTAGATTTATTTAAATTGTGGGTGGAAGTACATTTTATTTTATTTAGGCAGCAAGTAAATTATATTTCTGTACCGATTTAAATTTATCACTCAGAAATCAGCGATGCGTCTTCAAGAAATCGCTAAGAACATTATTGCGACAAACGTGCCGATATTGCGAATAACGCTTGAGTGAAGTCTTTTAATTAAGGCGGTTGGGTACGTCTACGTCAGTACGACGTCCGGAACACCCCATCAATTTCTGCTTGACTTCTGATTGTTTGAGTCAACCTCGTTAGCAACCCTATACCGTGCCCCTGTATATCCATGCAAAATCGTGGCATGTTCCCCGTGTGATAATTATTTCACCTTTTGTGTTTGTGGTAAAATATAATGTACTTGTACATTAAATATTGTAACAGTGAATTCAATTGCTCGTAACTTGATGTTCGTTTCATCGTGGCATGTTAATTATTCGAAGTAAACGTGTTGTTTTTTTAGTAAAGAATAATAGTTATTTATTAAAGAATTTTATTAAATGTACATAAATATTATACTATTATAAATTACTTTGAACAAAGATGTACAATAGGCGAGCTTAACTCTGCAAGAGTTCTTTTCCAGAAAACTCAGAGTGGAAAGGAGTATTAATTATGGTATAAGCAATGTGCGTGCAATAAAAATAAGTACAGTATAGGTATGGTATTTCTTCTGAAAAATTATGCTTACCTAAATACGTACTTACTTAAAATATTCAAATATATTTACATTCAAAGTACACAAATATCTGTATAGAATTACAAATATATATGAAATTACATAGTTACCCATACAAAATACATACATATACATACACAAACATAATAAGTTTATTAGGATTGAAGATGTGTTTTTAACCTGCTCTTAAAGATATTTTAATTTAGTAATAAATAAAAATAAATCAGATTTCTATTGTCAAGTAGTTGTGTTTACATAGATAGCTCTGTTCGAAGTGTGAGATGTAGCAGACAAAATACGAAGGAAAATCTTAGCCCTCCGGGATGACAACACAAGAGGGCTTGTCACTGTGTGTTCTTTGACACCCCTGGTGTTATTCATATTTTTAGCCGACAGTTACCACTTTATAGCAGGTATGTTGTCAGATTGTTCGCTCTTATAAAGTGTATAATATAAAATAGTAAAATATAAAAACAGTATTTAAATTGATCATACTTTACCTTACGTGCGTATCTTGAATGTATACATTGATTAGTTTTTTTTTTCCAATATTTGTTTATAAGGAAAAGATTTTAAACAGATATTGAAAACGGTAAAACATTAAGCAGGACCGCAGTACATTCAGTTCGGTTGTCTAAATATTTAAGTCCACCACGACGATATCTGCAGAGGTAAACAGACGTAACGTCCTACGAAAGTCTCTTTTAAGCACTTGGATTACTTCATAAAAAGCTAATCTACTAACCTTATAAAACTTGCACAGTTGTTGTTATACGTCAGTAGAAGTTTCTCTCGACTTTAGTTTTGGATATAGGTTAGAAGTAGAAAGTAAATTCTTAGGGGACTTCCTTACTCAGGAAGTTTTGTTCCTTGTGCGCTGTCTTTTATTCCGTTATTTCTAATAAAAATGTACGCTAGGTGATGTTTTACTTACTTATTCGCTGGTAACTAATAGTGGAAGATATTTTCTTTCCTACTTTGCTCTGCTCGTTTAACTGGCGAGATAAAGATTATTTAGATATTGTTCTTTGATATTGTCAACGTAAATAAATTATAATATCTAATTATGTTTAATTTTTTTTTAAAAAACTCGCTCTGTTTATGTGAAATGTAATTGTCTTTAATAATATTGATGGTTGGATATAAGCGCCATATAGCTCGATAGTAAACGGTTAGCCAATAGACGTTTGCAATGCTTAAAATGTTGCGTATGCCATAGGAAACCTAAAAACATCCTTTTTAAAGAACCTAACGCTACACTCTCTAGGGAAAACTTTGGCAGTAAGCGTATTCTATAATTTGAGTGTACGTGGCAGTAAAATTCTCGGAAACTATACGAAACCATTTAGGTTTAAGGCCATGCGAATAAATTCCTTATAGAAACAATGAACGTTATTGTAAATATTATCGAATTTATTACAAAAGTAATTTTAAATACTGTCTATCTAAAGAGAGTTTAAAAAAACTTTGTCTAAGTGATTAAATGTAGTTTAGTTTGTATAATAATATTTATTTGTAAGTTTATGTAACGAAATCTATATACTAAAATTTAAAACAAATTTTGTTTTTACTTTAAATACCTTTTATTTTCAATAGGACAGACTTTATTTTCTTTTGCCATAAAAAATATATTAGATACGCTTTCGTAATAAGACGGTTGAGTTTAATTTAAAACACTCATAAAAATGTACATAAATTATAGTTAGCTTGGATAAGTAATTAATTAATGCTAGTATTTACTTAATAATAAAAAGAAAAAAAGTATTGACAACAAAAGAACCAATAAAGATTAATTTTAATTAAAAAAATCAACAAACTCGGTTTTAAACGAAAAAAAAAAACATAATAAACCTACAGTGCAATTGATATTATTCTCGTTCTTGAAATTGTTTACAACGATAAATATCAATTGTAAGATTATTAAATAACATTGAGATTTAATGAGCTTACATGGACTTACACATAATTTGTATCTAAATGTGTCGGGTCTACATATATTGATCCGTCTGTTTGTGCACGCATACGGTTAATAATGTATGGAATTTAATTAGTTCAAGCACTGATCTGGCTTCAGCTTTTATTATTAAATTGGAATAACATTACTTACATATTTCTCTTCTAAACATATTTCTTCATAACAAAAAATACAAATAAATAGTGCCTAGAATTATTTCGTATAGTATTAAATGTTATTACACCTACAAAACCTGTAAAAAAATAAAAAAAAAGATAAACGAAGGAAGCAATGCGATAATAAAATTAAAAGGTGATATGAGATAAATGATCAAGTGTTTGTTTAACATGTTCCTCTCTCGATTGCGAATAAAAGGCGTTATTCTCAAAATTTACGGGTAGATTCTCAAACATTGAATATTTTATTAACCTGCTGTGATAAGAATACTTAAGCGATTCCCTCGCAATCCGAGAAGTACCCTTTTATGCTTATAAGCCGGGTGAAATGCTGATCGCACGACTTTCCTCTCCAGAACATAATTTTTAAAAGACGTTTCATTTTTAATCCGAATTTTCTGTAACAATTTACGCTTTACTCGGAAGTTTCATAAATTTCTTTCGACTTATAAATAAGATATCACTTTGAGGCCGTCTAAAAAAGCGTTTAGCTAATATTTATGCTATTGTAATTCCTTTTGCTCAATTATATAAAAATTTACCGCATTTTTATGGTATAATTAGATAACTACTTACTGACATGATAAGCTATATTACCATTTTATCTTACAAATAATACCAATGTGTATATTTGTAAAGGTGTTTGAAAGTTTATTGAATTTTAATGATTAAACAATTGAATGAATATCAATAAAAAAATATTAAGATGCCCGAAGAACTGCGATATACAGTTAATATATAAAAAATCGCCAAAAAAAGATTTTTGGTAATTTAAAATGCTTTATAATATAACCATGTAATTCTAACTTTATATGGTAGGTTAATGGTATATTCTATAGCAATATAAAGGTTGTAAACCTTAGTAATAAATAGAAATTAAACACAAGTTCACTCAGTTCATTTATTTTAGAGATCATTCTATTAAATCGTATATTTACCTATTTTACTTTGGGTTTGATATATACTAAATAATATATCATAAATACCCAACTTCTGTTAATCCATTAACACTTATTTAAATATAGCTTCTTTAGGACTTCCATCAACAATTATTGTAATATATTTTATATAATGACCACGTGCTTTACTATACTTGTTCACTCTTGATTCGTCAGGGAGCTCCGCTCTGTTTAACGGTTGGACAAGAAGTGCCTCCCCATCCAAATAACAATCTTTTATATCCACAGGGCCGAATTCGAGTGAACAAGTTAGTGAGACCACGTGTTCTTACAATTTCATTACTTTTTATTTAAGTGTCATGATAATAAATAATTATAAAATCAATTAAAATATAAATTTGTGTTTTATATACATTACAAGAATAATTCATTACAAAATTTGGTATAATAACAATTTTAATATTTTATTATATTTAAAGTAATTAGTCTGATTTTTATTAATAAATGTAGGTACACATTTTAACACAAGATGTTTAAGAAAATTAATATAATTTAAAATAAATATTTAACACCTGCGTAATTTGATGGAAAAAGTCAATGCAGGCGACAGCTGCCAATAAATTAAACAGGCTACAAACAATAGCATGCCTGATAACTACAAGTACTATGAGTACTACTCTGGGAGCAGCTCTGAACGCATTACTGAATTTAACACCCCTACCCCTTTTGGCCTTTTTCATACAGGAAAAGGCCAAATACAGTATGCTTCGAAATAGTTCTCATTGTTAGAACTCATGGCAATCACAGGCGCTCAAAACACTTGAAGAATTAACAATGAGCAATCCCATTCTGGGAACGCCAGAGATGATCCCAGAATGCAATTTTGAAAAATATTACAAAATTGAAATTTTCTAGAAGATACAAGTGGAATAAAGATTACCTACCGTCTCACTCAGTCTGTAGTCTGACCTAGTTTGGTTTACAGATGGATTCAAAATAGAAGAAAATATGAGATAAAGTGTTTATGGTGTTAGACCAATAGTTCACAGTTTTTAAACTTAAGTAAATATGCCACAATATTTCAGACCGAAACTATGGCCATAAATAAGATGTGTAGAACTGAATCTAAGTTTTAAATACATAAATAATAATAAATTTATTTATTCGGATAGTCAAGCGGCATTACTTACACTTGACTCATACGAAATTAAGAGTCAAAGCTTACAAACAACTACATAATGTTATTAAATGACTTGGGTAGCAGAAATAACATTATCTTGAGATGGATCCCTGGTCATTCAGATATTCATGGAAATGAAACAGCTGTCTGATTAGCAAAGAAAGCAGCAATCAATGCCCAAATAGAACCAAAACCTTATTGTGGCTTGCCTCGTAGCCTAAAGCTTAGACATCTAATGGTTTTTAAAAACTACTCAAAGAAATTAACTTCCTTGAGTAAAAATAATATTTGTATATTAACAACGGCTTTCACTGTACACTGTAAACTAAATAAGCACATAACCCAACTAGGGTATACCCATAAATTGTTTGTAGATTTTGTCACATTCACACATTGTTTACATTTTTGAGGAGACAAAAAACGTTGCTACAAACATCTTAAAATTTCTATCACTGATAGGAATAGGAAGGATAGGAACTTTAAAAAAGGGCGAGTACATGAGATCATGGAAAGGTCACAGTGTCACAGGTTTTTCTATCTAAAAAAACCCGTTTTTCAATAATAAAATGATATTCTTTGCAAAATAATATAATTAATTAATAATAATATTGCATTATTATAAAAAAAAAACACATCGTATTTCTTATTAACAGATATATTATAAATAATATACCATCGACGTTAAAATTAAATCCTTTATTCATTTTTGCATCATAATTATTGATACGAATTATTTATGATAGGTTTTAATTAATTTAATGTAATTTCTGATAAGCCTCATTGACTAAAACCGAAATTCAAATGTGGCATTTAATAAATTTTGATGTAATGCCCAGTTTTAAAATATTGATGATTTATTAACAATACTTTAAAACCCATTCTGTAAATGAACGTTTTTGATATTACGTTACTCTTGCATAGATCCTGTTTTCTTCTGATTTAGCAAAAAAATTTCTAAATTCTTTTTCTCTTGTATATTTAATTATACGCTAATAGCTTTATTAAGATCATCTTAAACAAGCATAACCAGCATGATCTTCGCAGATTAATTGGTTTATTTATGAACAAGGTATCTTATTACTGCAGAGTTACTTCAATTATATAGGTGTACTAAACTCTAAGTCAATCAAACGAAGATGGAAGACTGTCAAACAATTCTTGAACAGAGATTCGTCAAGTTTATGTAGAACAACGAGTATTTTTGTTCCTGCACAAACATAAACATTTATATTAATGACTAGGTATATATTATATTGTTTTATGTATAATATGAATGTTTTTTAAGGCAAGTATTTATTTTTGTTTATCAGTTGTCTAGTACCTGTAGTGTAAGTTCTATTTAGTTTGGGATTAGATGACGCTATGTAATCCATATCCAATGGTATTTATTATTATTTAATAGTTATGATTTCACGAACAGATACATATATACACAATGGCTTTAAACATAAAACATCTACTTAACCTATAGGGTTGTATTATGATTTATCACCATGGTTAAATTTTCCAAGAATATTTTTTAATGCTTTACTTTTAATGGTATATTCTATTTGATATCATTAAATAAGGGATCGCAATATATTTTTCTTTTTTTAGAGAAAAAAAAAACAAGTGAACAAAGGAAAACAAGGAAAATACTTACTCTTACCTACGGGATGAAAATGGGTACATAAAAACTAAAAATTTCATCTTTCCGCTCGCAAACCTACACGCGAGTGAACACAAAATAATCAGAGCACATACAAACTAGTTCACTGGGAACAAAACAAATGCTGGAGATATTTAAAAATTCAACACGTGTACCGGACCTGCCTATGTACATAAAGCGTAACGTATAGAACTATTTAGGTTGTATAGTCACGTATGACCCCATACACCGATTCGGTCAGAAGGTCAAGGGACCCTTTGGCCCGATGCCACTAAATTGTCTGCGAATCTCGAGGTTTCCCGTATTATGCATACGGATTGCCTCGTGATTGAGATTACCTTGTAAGCTCTCCATGATGGATAACCCAAATAAGGGCTTCTATCTGGAAATAGAAACAGGAATTGAAAGAAATATAGAAAATATAACTGTGAAGTTGTTTCTATCAGTGACCGCTTTTATATGGAGATTGATAAATATATTTGCTAATCCAATAATTTACTAATCAATTTGATGCATTAAATTCATGGCAGTTTTTATGAATGCTGTAATCAAAAAATAATCGTGAAAAAATTTATAAGAGAGCATTGTATCAATTGCAAAAATTATTATTATTATCATAAAACTAAGTTTTTTTATATAATATAGGGGGCAAACGAGCACTTATCATCAGGTGAGTCGCATGCTCACTTGATGGTAAGATGGTAAGCTCACCTGAAATACTAGAGGCCATGCAGGTTTGCTGCCGGTCTTTAAAAAACAATATGCTCTTTTCTTGAAGGTTACGATGTCGTATCAATTCAAAAATACTGCTGCTGGAAGTTAATTTTACGGCGTGATTCTGCGTGGAAGAAAGTGCTTTAAAAATAAACAGTGGGGGACCGCCACTCATCTGAAATTAACGAAGATATCAAGTAAAGAAAAGCTATAAAAATACAAACAAATCGTACAAGTAGGTTATAAATACAATAAATAATAATAATAATCGAGACGAAATTCATATTAGAATTAATAAATATGAAATCAATAAGGAAATAATTTTTACCGATTGCAAAAGAACTAGCAAAATCGGTTTATAAATTGCGACGATATTAAAAATATAAGCGAATTTGAGAATCTTTTTCTTTTTGAAGTCGTTTAAAAATGTATAAGAAAAATTCTATTAAAACACGTAAGTACGCTGAAGAGAAAGCTTTCAACTCTTGAACAACACGTTAAACATCAGATTTTGTATACTCGCTTGAAAATAAAAGGAAGGAAATCAAAAGAAACGATCCGCTTGTGTTCGGGCGAGTGAAATTACCAATGAGTTCCGAACCATTAAGTGACTTACCTACTGCGGTTCATGCACGGCTAAAGCGCCACTGAATTTCGATCGAGATCTATTCGGTGTATTATAAAAACGGTTATTTTTGTTTCTTTATTTGTATTATGGTATTTGAGATACCTGAGATACAGTATCTGCTAGAAAATAATATAGAAAGAAGACGCTTTTAACAAAATAAGATTGTAGATATTTTTTTGTATAATTTTTTTTAACAATATACAATAAATTTCATGTATTCTTGGCTCAATGTGTTTGTTTATTTAACCTGTTAGTTATTGTAAGCTGTCTGTGTATATATATTTGTATATCATATGCTGTAAACTCATCATATTGAATACAGAATAATATTGATGACGCAATTCAACGTGCAGAATCTTGTATAGTAGATATAATGGTTAATTTGCAATTAATCTTAACCCAAAAAATGTTCAATAAGTGTCAATTTTGATATTTGGGTGTGTTTGTAAATATTTGTAGCAACGCAACATTTTATTTATTTAATCAATTTCGATACTTTTAATCTATTATGTAGATATAATAGTTATCGATTATATCCATATATCTTATTATATTTTAGACATGAGGAACACTGTAATTAGTTAAACAGCACTAAAGAGACACAATTAATTGTACATACATGTAATAAAAAACAAAATCTTTAAAATTATTGAAGATATGTGCTTAATAATTCCTTTCAAACTAGCGACAAAGTAGGTTCTTTGATAATATCCATTTTCCTACTTCTTTAATCTTAATTATTTTTTGTTGAAAATACGAGTATTTTAATATAGCTTATCCTGTTTGCATCATATTAAATTTATTACACAAACTGCGTTGAACACGAGATTTACGAAAAGCTTAGAATACGAAAAACTTAAATCGCTTCAACAAAATTGTATTACGTTCCTGTATAGTAACAGCCATAACTTGTTTGTATAATATTATTAACTGTTTGTTTATAGATTTCATAGATTTTTATTATATTTAAATAAACCTAACTCATCATCTTCCTACCCTTATCCCAATCATTTGGGGTCGGCGTAATATGATTTTGTCCATATTACAAAAAGATTTGGTTTTAAGTTTTACGTTTTTATTTATTTAAATAAACCTAACTATTCATTTCTATTGCGTTGCAGATAGTAGCAGTTACGAATGTTATTACCATTTGTTTACAAGATAAACTTAACCACTTTGACTAATTGAAAAATAAAATAATCCAATAAAATAATTTTATGGCCTATATACGCCTTGATTGAACTTACAAAAGTTTATTTCTTTCGTAACCTGCAAGAAAAGAGCATATTCTTTTTTAAAAGTTCGGCAGCACAACTGTAAATGCTCCGATGTTGCGGGTACTCTACTTCTCATCAGGTCACTTACCATCAGGTGAGTCGTATGCTCGTTTACCTCCTATGTTACTTAAATGTAATATTAGACAAAATATCAACATCCTCAAATCTCATGTAATAATTTGCAATTTTTAAAACTAATCAAAGAAAAACATACTAATACACACGTTGAAATATAAAAGAAAATAACCATCATATAAAACGTATAGTCATGTGGTACATTTAGTTGATTTTGAAGTAATTATCTAAGACAAATTAAAAAATTTGTAGAAATATTTATAAAATTATAGCTAATAAAATAGTATTATTTAGATAAGAATTATATATTTTTTCAATATTTTTATTGTATTAAATAAATAGTACATAGATAATAAAATTCAACAGCTTGCTCTATAATAACCGCGAACTAACATGGAAATGTTTGTTCAAAATTAAATTCAAAATTTAAATTAAGTTAACAAATTAAGTTGAAAATAACTGCTTGAAAACCTTTTTGATGTCGCTTTATATAGGAAGAAAAAAGTAATATTTTTATAGAGTATTAATCGCTTGATGGAAATATTTTGTTATTAAACAAGTTTGAATAATTAAACACAAGTCTTTTGATAAAAATAACAGAGTGACGATTTTAATATGCTCGGTCAAATATAGACAGAACGAATGTTACATTAACTACATCAACAGAAATTGACAAGTGCGTCTGACTACCTCATTAGAGATTATAGTCGTATTTATTTATTAATAAAAAAGAAATGTTTAGTTACATCACATATACGAAAGTGAATCAAGACTCCCATTTAGCTAGAGTATTTACAGTCATTATGAGACAGTAGTTAATGTATCAAGTCTACAGTGATTTTGCTAATATCGCAGAGAAGGGTCCCGGCAAATGCCACTTTACCTTTAGTCAACGGTTTTGACGTGGATTAATCGTTCCCTGTTATTGTAGTTGAAGCGATGTGTAACAATTTAAGTTCCGACATCCCTATTTGTAATGTTTTTGACTACAATTTCAAAGTTAATAAATTGTTATAATGCCTTCAGGTATTCTGTTATAACTTTTATACGTATATTTATAACAAAAACCTTAACAAAGGAAATACAGTAAGGATAATAGAGCATTATTAAAGTGAAGCATTATAATGTAGGTTATAGTAATTTCGTTATATATGTAGGGTATTAATTTATATCGTATTGAGCGAGAGAAAATAAAAATACTATTATATATTTTAAATTATAATAAATGTATGAAACTCTTATGTGAATTAATTTATTTTGTGTATTAATCTTCATACATATTGTCACCGTGTGTGCCTCGGCATAGAATGAGCCACCCCATTCTTTCCCGTGTATGTCGTAAGAGGTGACTAAGGAAAAGCGAGGAATGGACAGCAGCATCCCTCTTAAAACATCTCTAAAACCCTAACTGCAGTTGTCAACCCGCTTACCAAGCATGGCAACTACTGGCAAAACTCCCCTTATGGGGTAGGCTTACGTCCAGCAGTGGAAAGTTAACAGCGGAAATAAAAATAATAATAAGAAATATCATCTCAAGATCAATGTAATCTCCGAGTTGCGTTGTTTTTATTAAGTATTCAAGATTTTTTTAATAAATAAAATCTTCATTTATTTACAGCTCTACATGGGAGCATATAACTTTTTACTTTCTTAAGAATAATTTGTCGAAGTTTTTAATTCTTATGAAATATGTTTCAAAGATTTGGCGTATGATTTGTTTATTATTCGTCCTAATTGTTTCAAATAAATAAATGAATATTAGGTAATATCTTTGCTCAACTTTTATGTGCTTCCATGAATTCTACAAAGTGTATACTTTTTTTTATACAACTTAGAATGGCAAACAAACTGACGGCCCACCTAATGGATAGTGGTAACTGACGCATATAGACATGAGCAGTACCATGTACATAACAGAGTATACTGTTTCGCTCATGATACCCATGCGTTGCCATTCCTGAAGACTCAGGTGTTATTCCTCTGTACCCAGTAAATTCACGCCATATCCCACCCTTCAAACCGAAACACAGCCATGCAAACACAACTGTTTCACGGTTGAAACACGAATGGGACAGAGGTACCCAAGCAATCGACTTTTGTACAAAGTCTCCCTCCCTCTGGTACGCAATAAAAACTAACATAAAGGTACAAAATATAAAATAAATACTCTAATGGGGTACTCTTTTTTTTTTTTGTTAATGATATTTTAATAAATAATATATCGAATATATAAACACATGGATATAAAATAGAATGTTTTAGAGATTTTATGAAAATTTTATGATAAATATCATACAAAATTATGTCACATTGAACATAGACGCTGACATGTTCAATTTGGTCTGATTGACTTGACGGCAACACTCGACACCCGACATTCGCCACTTGCTGATTGAAATCCTGATTTTAGCGATAAATTCAATTTAGTACTTGATCGGCTGTGATACGATGGCTAAAAACGGGAGACAAATTGATTTAGCCCAGCCTGAGGCACTGCAAAAAGTTACGAGTGTTTGTCTGTTTGAATTGATATTAGTCCCTTAAAAACTAAAAAAGTATAAAAGCAAACTTTTCTGGTGCCTTTATCTATTTTGATTTTGCATTTTGCAATATAAATGTTATTACAGATACCTCGTAAATTTAGTCGTAAATTTAGATATGGCATTTATTTTACAAATCGTAAGCTAATTTTAATGTCGATATACACAGGCAGTTGATTAATTAGTGGTTTTAGGTAATTTTTTTATACATACTAGGAATTTGCGACAGTTTTCAGTGCAAAAACTCATCATCATGTTTCTGCCCTTTACTCATTTGTGATATTTAGAGTCGATATAATATTTTTTCTCTCTTTCACTTCTATTTGCATTCATCTTAGTATTTAATACCTATCTAATCAGATCATATTTTAGTGTACTTCTCTTTTTAGATCTCTTTCTACGTTACTACCATTCATATTCAATTTTCTTTACAACATTGTCTTTATTTTTATGCATCACATATCAATACAAACAATTCTTAAAACACCTCTTAATTTTTCTACCACTGGTGCTACTTTTAAACTTTCTCTAATATAATAATTTTTAAACAATCCATTGTCGAAAATTTCACTTTAGTTTCATTCAGTCGACAAAATATTTTAAAGTATTTTATAAATATATGTTAAATCAGAAAAAAATCTTTTAATTTCACCTGTATATCTAGTTACAAAAATACATCTACGAGTATAATCTTCAATATTTTACAAACTACCGTGTTCAGGTTTTACGTTATTGTATTACTCATATCTTTACGTACCTAACATCAATGTTATTTTTTAATACACTTAATGTTACATGTACATATATTAATTTAAGCTTTAAATCAATATATCTACGTTAGAAGTGCTTCGCATACCTACTCTGCAAATATTTACCGACATGTCTCTTCGTCCTACATTTCGTCGGAATCATTTTAAATAAAAAAGCTCATCGATGCGTGAATTAATATACCTACCGTGTACGTAAATACATTACAGGTATCGATTTAAAAAATCCCTTTTTTTCATAAGGAACATTTTTGGTGCCCGTAACGAGCTCGACTCGCCCTGGGCGCCTGTGTCATGTCCCTTGCTAACAAGATTTATACAAACAACTCTGAAATCAGTATGATGAATTTGTTCATATCTATATCAACTATAATCTACTCTTTGACGTAAGTGTCTTATTCTGTTTTATATTACATTTCCATATATTATTTAGAAATCTGTATAAATGTCATAAAATATCCAAGTTCAAGTATTCCGGATCCCTC